AAAAAAACTGTTAACTCCGCGACCGAAATTTCAGCTGCAGTTTTTCTCTTACCGGTGGCGGAAGATGTACATCGACGTGAACCTTCGAGGACTCTGAGGATGGAGAAATTTGTAGACGCCTTGGTTATTGTGAAACAAGGGTTTCATGAAGAACATGTCTGCTTATCTAGTACAAGCATATAGGTGATTAATGGAATAATGTTAAGCAGAACATGAGCCTTGCAGTATTCAACAGCAATTTGCAGTACCAACTTGATGACCTTAGGTGAATTAAATCTCACCAGAAAATCTTATGTAAATCAACTGTTTGTAAAATCAACTCTAGACAGCGTCTTCGTCAGTCACAATTGAAAAGCCTGTGGCTTAAACGTTAGAGGGTTTAGTGGTTCAATCGGTTTACTTTGCATCAACGAGAATTTCTTAGTCATGGAGACGAGTTTCAGTTATGAAGACCCGCTTTTGGAACGCTCGTGGCCTTAGTTTATGCCGATTTACACAGGGTTTTCAACACTTGCTCGATCACATTTTGTCCGTCAAGTAAAATCTAGAAGCAAATTTTTTGAATTTTCAGTAAAAGAAACAAGACTAGTTTAAATCTCAAACATGAATTGGCGCTCCTAATTGTATACTGTGATTGGAAACGAGTTGGCATCGCACCCTGGCTTACTGTTGCTCTCCTCCTTTCAGTATCGCAATCATTCTTCCATCATACACGAGCACTGACGACGTACCGTTACCTAAAATAGTCAATAGAAACATTCTTACTATCAGAATCTTCTTAGTCAGGTGCAGTTCAACGGTGGAATAACTTTTTCGCGCCAGCAAACTCCAGAGCATCGCAAATTTGAATATTCTGATAACACATAACACCAATCCCGCATCGCTTCAACAAGATCAATTCATATGAACTCGACTGGCCTTCAACGACATTCTTTAAGGAGAAGACGACAAGCATCGAACACCAGCCGAACCCAAATGCCAAAAGTTCAGAGAGTCTGGTGCTTGATGGATATGAAGAGACGAAATGCAAAAATTGTTAGGATCGGCGTAGTAAATGTGATGACGTATTGCATCAAAAATAAGAGAGCTAAGGGCCTGCTCCATCATTAATTGCCTACCGTTTGTTGGCATTTCTACTGTTTATCATGCCTAGCTAGATGTAGCTAGTCGAGTCATCTTGAAAGTTTTTCTTCGTACTTTTCTACTACTCTAATATTGATGGCTTCACAACTACAGAAGTAACGATAAGAGACGGTCCTTTACAGCCTTGAAGGAACTCTTGTGTTGGAAGTCGAGGCACAAACGAGGACCTTGTAGACTATACGATTTTCTATTATTTATTTCAACCAATGGTAATTCGTATTGGAAATTCGACAAAGTAGGAACTATTGTGTGAAAAATCGGTTAATCGAATTTAACTAGAATGTGTTTGTCAAAGGAGTTATATTTTATTAAGTAATGTGTTATCTCTTTAACAATACTGGATGGTCATCATAGAAACTGTCGAAGGAAGGTTTCTTATCAGTGGTATGGAGTGAGAAGGAATTTGATGACACAAATATCAATGATGTCAGGCGGTGGCAGTACTCTATTGTTTTTATCTCGGTTCTGTCTTAATTTTCGTCATCGCAGAAGTGATCTCACCAACTCTCGTCTGAAGGATGACGACTCATTAACACAATGAAGTGTTAATTACAGAACGAATCTAGTTGTCGCCTTCACTCTCCCCGACCAGTGTTAATGCTTTGCAGTTGGTTCCCCATTCCCTCGTTCGTTTTAGTAGTTCCTGTCATAGTTCACTTCGCAAATGCTAACGCCGCAGTTTTTGTTAAATCGCCAGCAGTAGCTTCTTGAAAATCCGAAGTGCGATCTACGAATAGTTTGATTATTGTTAGGAAGATTTTCTTGTAGCCTTAAAAACAGTGAGGACTCATTAATCAAAGGTTTTAAGACCCATTTTACGATTTGTTCGTCTAATTTCATGCAAACCTCTCAACGGTTTAGATTAACCTGCTCATTCTGAAACAGAAGAGGGCAAATTATCTTGATGTTCCGTAGAAGCGATAGAGGCAGCGTACCTCCATGCCTTTTACAAGTTTGGGACTGTTTGCATAAGACGTAGGCTAAGGTTCTCACTGTTACTTTTGCGTGTTTGTAAAATTTAACTAATTTAAATTTATAAAGTTTTAGAACAAATAATTTTTGACAGAGTTGGAAAGTTTTCGACTATTATGAAAAAACTGTATAGAAGACGAGAGCATTTCACTTGGCGTCATCGGTGTAAGGTACGTACGCTTAAGTTCCGGTTGGCTCTAAGGAATGTTTTCGTATTTGTGATTAGTTCTCGAGATAGAAGGGCGATGAGAAATTGCGAAAATTGTGACGTCGTCAGGCGAAGTGTTCTCGCCTTTTACACTGTTCTCTTCATTAGAGCAGAAAACTTAGTGAAAAAGCTGAAATCGGCACAAACAAGTGTCAGTTTGAAAGTTAGCAGTTTTCTATCGAATGAAACCCACTAACACGTAAAGATGAAGTAAAAAATTTTAGCTCATGTGTTAGGAAAAACGTTCAAAAATGTAATAAAGGCATGTATGGACGCTACGTGTATCGCTCCTGTGGAACACAAAATTTACTGGCCTCGTTCCGGATGGTTTGCTTTTCTTATACCAGTCATTGTCATTGTCATTGTAAAGGCCAGATATCCATTCAATCACCTCCAACGATACTTAATGAATTGGAATGCGTGGAGCATCAGTCGTGGATAGATCAACGCCCAAAACATTATCTTTTATCCTTTACACTACTTATTTATCTGACAAAGCCTAATACCACATCTTTGCTGAATCGACTCGGACCGGATGTTGACTTTCGAATGGTGGCGCCATGATAACTTGAATTCGAAGTTGCGGACACCAACACTAATTTCGATGCAATTTTTCGCAGCAGTTGTGCTACAATAGTAATTTTTTATTTACTGCCAATTACAGTTTTTTTTATAAAAGGTATTATTGTGAAATGCAACCGCAGCGAAACAGAGATATTTGCAAATCTCCGGACCGCAGATGTCGATATTACCCTATCCAGGGGCTAATGTTTTTACCACCACATCACACACTTCCTTCGCTTCGCTTTCTCTCAGCTATTATTTATCTAACAGTGTCATCATCAATCACCGATAAACTTTGTGTTATATTTTTGGGTACACGAGCACCGTTTTATCGTCGTTGTTCCCCCTCTAACCACGCACTACTATAGGCCGGCCGATCAAGCGTTGGGTTGCGAAGTCAAGATTGTTCGCAGGAGCGACATCATCGTTCATACGCGGTCATCATATAGAAGCAAAGTGCAACCACAATGATATTGAGATATCTGCAAAACTCAGGGTGTAGGTCAGTGTCTGAAGGAAGCTGTTTACTATTCGAATGAAAATTTATATGTTGAGCTTTACCTAGTGAGATTATGAACGTGTTTTTTCGAGCAGATTTCATGTCATCTCGTCTTCTGTAGGATCTGAGGTAGGCCAAACTGCCGAAACGTCTGGCATTGCGGCTAAATAAATGTTTTAATAACAACCTCTAGTTTGTCCATGAAAAAAGCAATGAATTATCTGGTCCATGCCGAGGTTACCAGGAAGACTGTTATTTGCTAAGATTTGCTCTTTATTCGAATTCTTCGTGATCACAGACAACAGATAACATTTGCTTTAGTGTGAGAAGTATTATAGTTTTAAGCGGGGCGCTTTACTCTGGCGAAACCGATACGCTTCTGACCGATGTCGTAGATGTTGCCAGGCAGGTCCGAAACCTCCAGAAATGTGATGGAAAAAAGCCAGAGCACACTGAAATCGACAATGCAATTAATGAACTTAGGAGGATAAAGTCAGAGTGTTCGCTAGTGTCGCTTAGGTGCTAATTCCATGTGCATCACAGTAATCGTGGTCGATTCTTAAATTCTGACTCCGAAAAACACCAGGCTGGGCAAATCAGTCATGTTAAGATCAGAATTGCACCCAAATTTTTTTCATAAAGTACAAAAATTTGCAAAATCGACCTTACAACATACAAAACCAGCCATGTCCAATCTATAGAACCAGAGAATTGCTGTGTTGAAGTTGACGTACTTACCTGTCCACCGCCGAGACCAAGATCGATCACGTACTCTTCGGATTTTATATTGTATTTCTTTGGCAAACAAGCTTTGGGAATGTATAGAATGTCATGAGATAGAAAGCGTGCCGTTTGCTACGATAACTCTGGAGAAAAATCGTCTAAGCACCGAAGTCGCAAGCATTGCTATTCGCCGCTCTTATCAAATACATCGACTTCAACCAGCGATAATACACTGTGCTCCGATGACATTCCAAAGCATTATCAGCTCCCATTCACTCTCAATCGCTGACGATAACGAAGCTTCCAACGCCCACCATTTAAAAGGCAGCACAACTTCTCTTCTTTCCTGCTGCCGTTTATCTCCGCTATTTCTTGCAGCGTCTTCCAGTGCTTTCACTTTCATAAAATTAATGCAATGTTCTCAACGATTGCACGAGTGGACCGTGCTCAGCTATGTCTAGCAGAAATCAATTCCATTGTTACACAAACAGTGGGTCGTTCAAAAGCCTTCCTAGTTATCAAGAAATAGGTCTGACACTTTGGCGCAACGAAAAGAAAGCAGTATTTCGAAAGAAAGTAGTTCCACAGGCTTTGCATGAAAAATTTTCCTTCTATTTGAAGACAATCTGCGTTGCTAAAATGAAAGCCTGTAGTCCAAAATGATGGGTTCAGAGGAGTAGGACGCGAATATAAAAGTAAATAAGAAGATGTAATGAAATAGAGAAAGTATTGCGTCCATAGCCATAGCGATCAACGATAAGAATTGAGGAGAACTTTGTAGGTGGACTAAGAAGCATGGAAATAAAAACCCATGGATAGCACTAACTCTTAGCATCTCACTGATATAACAACTTCAAAATATATTCACAACAACTGGTCTTGCTTTCAGCAATGAAGACCATTCTCGTTCTCGCTACGCTAGCAGCCATTGCTCATGGCAAAACGTACACGATGGAGACTCGCTCGTCGGGATCACTCATTTCCCGTCTCATGAAGTAAGATCTACAAGAAAATTCGACATCCACTTATCTAGGATTGCCTTACTCTAAAACGAAATCGAAATTGCTATGAGAAAAGCGCCGGCACACACATTCGTGTGCCGCGTTGGTCGTCGCGGTCAGTCAGGGTTACAACCACATTTTCATCGTATACGGGCAGCAAAGACCTGTCAGTAGTAATTAGAACATTCTGTTAAAAAAAAAACGAAAAACGATGATCGTTCGTGGCACTCAAATTCTCAAACCAATCGCTTAGAACAATCTTATATTTGAGGGAAAAACGATACCAAAAATATCTGGAAGAACGCAATCTACACCGCTCTCAAGTGCTCGTGAAAGGATCGCAGCCGGTTGAGGACGTCTTTGACACCTATTACCTCGTAAACATCACAGTCGGAACACCTGGTGAGCACATATGAAGTAGTTAACCATTGAAGAAATCGCCAGCAGTTTTCACTTCGTAAAGAAAGAGCTCAACGATTATTGTCTGGAAGTTTCATAAAGTGGTAGAAGAGAGTTGGAAAAAATTTTCTTTCCAACGCTTCTCTGTAATTAAGAAGAGAGAGAAGGATGAGAAAGCACAGAGGCAGAGAAGGTCCTCCGTAAAACAGTTCATTGTATATATTGGAAGCAGATCAAATCCATTTGCGTTGAAAACGACTTAATCTGAACCGCAGCGTTGTCAAGATTTACTGAAAGGTGAACCCAACTACTTTTCTTCAATTCCTTATGGGAGAAATACAACGATATGCGAGATTCGTTCCGTTCCTTCTTTCTCACTTTATTAGACGGCATTTCTCCTTTAGCTAGAAAAATAATAAAAAAAATTACTTAGATAATGGAGTACTATGTGTCCTATAATACAATTACATCACAACCACATTTCTTTTGATTTTAGGCGAAACAGGCTTCAGCGATGCTCCGAGATATGAAAAGAAGTTCATTTTTCCTCACTTGTATCTCAAAGGGTTATAACACTGCTCACGGGCTATTATCGCCGAGAGTATTTTCGTCAATTCCACGTGCTCTATATTTTCAGGCCAGAACTTCTCACTGTTGCTGGACACCGGTTCATCAAGCCTTTGGGTGATCGACATAAGTTGCAACACAAAAGCCTGTTACTCACTTAGTCCCGAAAGACGCAGATTTAATTCATCGACGTCGTCCACATTTTCTACGCAAAACCGCACGCTCTTTATTGGATACGATTTTGGATCGTGCAATGGACGCATCGCAACGGACACTGTCTCTTTTGCAGGTATTTGTAGTTAAAATCCTCCGAAACACATGAACGGGGAGAAGAAGTAACGCTGAACTGTCCCATAACTCCTAAAATCTGGCAAATAAATTATAGTGGTGTCAGTTCCCCTTTTGGAGCTATGATACCCCATAAGATCGCATGCCTACTAGCTGTGGGAGACCCAGTTAAAAATCAATCAAGCCTTCATGGTTTCGTTAGCCATTGCAAGCTGCAATGCATGGTCACCTGGGACAACAAAGGCAAGTGTTATCTTATCAGTAACACAAGATTCTTTTAAAATTTTGTAACGCAAAAGAAAATCTTAGTGATTAAAGTTGCACTTAAATATACAAATGTTTCGCTGTTCGATCTCGTACCCAGGTCTAATAATCTTCCCATCATCCGGAGTTGACGAAATTGTGCCGAACTTTTCTAGAAGAGTAATATCACCTTCTTTAAATATTTTTAGACCCCCGTTCGTCATTGCAACGGCCAATTATCTATCGTATCACCTTTACGATGGAGTCAAATGTGTGACGCATCCTTTAAGCTTTGATCAACGCCGAACACTTTTTTTACCGTTTAGAAGTTGACACACTATAGAACATCACGAAATTATAGGTCTGACAATCCAACAACAAGAGTTCCTTGATGCCGAAAGTCTCTCCGATGATTTTACCTACATGCCCTATGACGGCATCCTTGGACTTGGTTGGCCAGCGGTATCCGTGGGAAATGTGAGCACAAGTATTACAAAACTAAAGTCATTTATGGCAAAATAGCTAGTACAAAGTTAAACAAGTTAGCATGCTAACTGCTTTAGATCACTCCACCGATGCAAAACCTTCTTCCCGCTCTTGACGCTCCCCTCTTCACCGTATGGTTGGAGAGGCAGGTGTGTTTCGCTTGATAATTGCAGTTTCCTTTAAGAGTGAATCTTCACCTTTACTAGATTCTCACAATTCTTTCGCTTTTTGACCGAAGTATTTGCCATATGCTGCGAAGAAGTTGCTTCGCCTTGCTGTTTCGTGAAGGGATTTCACCATTTTCAATGTGGTATCAGCTTAAGACGAAGAGCTTTAGAAAAGCTTTTATTCGGTTGAGGGCATTTTTCTAAACTTCAAAACCGCAATCGCAAAGTGTTTTCGATAACTGGCGGCAGTTCATCGATACGTAGAGTATTTAAAGTACTGACGAATTGGCGATCTCAGAAAAGAGACTTCGCTCTTAAGGATGAAGGATTAGGTGTTCTGCATCCATCAATCCTACAGTAAACTCCCATGCGTTTCAGATCAGCTCGTAAAAGTGACTGAATGCACCTTTAGTCTATGCAGTTGTTTCGGTCAATGTTTCTGCTCTCCCAGACAAGCCTGGTACCAAAAGTCAATCTCGACATAAACATGCCTTGTTTACCGGAAGCACTAAATCGAACCAAAAACAACGCGCATATTGTAGCGCTGATGAAATAACCGCGCTAGATGTACGTCTTTACATTCTAAAAATAAATATAATTTTTATGCGTCTTTAAGTTTTTGTTTCACTTCGTTTTGCAGTCGACTGAAAAGACGATAATTCAATCAAAAGTCTCTGAAATGTGGGTGTTTACTTGCAAGGCAACCGCAAGCAATCGAAACTGCGTCGTGCCACGCTGGACGAAATCTCCCTGGTTGACTCGAGAGAGTTCGCTTGAGATACGGCCTTCACGACAAGAAGAAACAAGTAGAAAAGGATTTGTTGGCTCTAAAAAACTAGGACCACGATAGAGCCTTCAAACCTGTTTCCAACTGCGTAGGATCTGAAAAATCTAAACGTTACTTTTCGTTCAGCAAAATTGATCGCTAGGTGAGGTAGTTTTGTTTAAAGTGGGAAGCAAAATTGTTTCCATCTATCAGTGAGCCATAATTTTAAGAAATTATGACTCTTGTTGCTCCAAATGTGTTGAAGTAGTAAGACAATAGAAATTACATACATACAGGAGCCGATTGAAATGATTTAAGCTTGGAATTCTTTTCGCTGCTCAATAGTTTGTTTCCCATGATAGATCTTAATATTTTGAATAATCGCTTTTAGATCAACGTAAGCTACGGAGGCGCCGGCGGTCTGGTCACTTTCGGTGCCGTCGACACCACCAACTGCGAACTGGACGTCAACTACGTGCCTCTTACCTCGGAAGCCTATGGGCAGTTCCCTCTCAGTGGTTTCTCTATTGGGCGTTTCTCGAAGAAATTTACGCAAGACGTGCGTAGTGACGAAATCACTTTGATTTCTCACGTTCACTTTTCTATAACACACAATGTGCTGCAAATGCTGCTAAATTACTGTGAACATGAAGTCTGTGTTTCTTAAAAGAATTTCTCCGTATAGGCCGTCTCCGACACGGGAAGCTCGTGGATTGGAGTACCACCATACCTCATAAACACAGTAGCCGGATATACAGGCGGCCAATACGATACTGGTTACCAGTTCTACACTGTTAACTGTTCGACAATGATGACGCAACCCGATGTTGAGTTTACTATCAACGACGTGAAATATAGTTTGAAATCCGAGGACTACGTGATCGATCTTGGTCTCGGTGGTGGACAGGTGAGTGCGTCAACTTCAACACAGCAATTCTCTGGTCCTATAGATTGGACAGCGTTGGTTTTGTATGTTGTAAGGTTGATTTTACAAATTTGTACTTTATGAAAAAAATTTAAATGCCATTCTGATCTTAACAAAACCGATTTGCCCTGCCTGGTGTTTTTCAGAGTCAGAATTTAAGAATCGACCACGAATACTGTAATGCACATGGAATTAGCACCTAAGCAACACTAGTGAACACTCTTACTCCACCGTCCTAAGTTCATTAATTGCTTTGTCGATTTCAGTGTGCTCTGGCTTTTTTCCAACACACTTCTGGAGGTTTCGGATAGGAGGATAGCATCACAAATGCCATTCATAGCCATTGAACGGTAGAGCAAAGTCTCTTCTACAACCCATTCATGTTCACAACAGACAAAGTTTTCTAGTTATCAATGCCATTCTGATCTTAACAAAACCGATTTGCCCTGCCTGGTGTTTTTCAGAGTCAGAATTTAAGAATCGACCACGAATACTGTAATGCACATGGAATTAGCACCTAAGCAACACTAGTGAACACTCTTACTCCACCGTCCTAAGTTCATTAATTGCTTTGTCGATTTCAGTGTGCTCTGGCTTTTTTCCAACACACTTCTGGAGGTTTCGGATAGGAGGATAGCATCACAAATGCCATTCATAGCCATTGAACGGTAGAGCAAAGTCTCTTCTACAACCCATTCATGTTCACAACAGACAAAGTTTTCTAGTTATCGACAAATTATTGCCCATTTTCATAAAAATTAAGAGAAATCAGCAAGTCCACAAAAGCTGAAAATTAGGCGTCGTCTGGTCGGCTGCAAACAAAAATTAGATGGCGAGAGTTAACGACCTCACGTCTCTTTCCGTGGAACAAATAATGTTATTAATCGGTGTCTAAACTAATAGAAAGTCTTCACTGAGAATTGCTACACCTTTTATGTCACACTATATATCATTATTATAATATGTAAAATAATCTAACGACTATTATTATAATATTATGCGTGTGTATTAACATGATGAGGCGTATGTGGCGCAGGGCTCGGAGAAGCCCTGCAACACACACGTGTAACCGATCCTGCGCCCATGGCCCACCAAGCCTTCCATCCTTCCGGGGTCGGCAAATTGGTACCATACCCGTCTGGAAGGATAGCATCACTGACTCGATACATCGGTAGGCTTCCACGAGTCATTGTAAAGGCCACTTATGCATTCGGCCACCTCCAAACGATGCTTAATGAAGTCGAAGTTATGGCGCATCCCTCAGGGATTGATCGACGCTAAGATCTTTATTCTTTTTTACTGACATGTTACACAAATATTGTTCGTTTTTTTCTGAGCTTGCATAATAGATTGCAGCACTCAGATCAGGTCCCTAGCCGATGCAGGTATGTGAATGTGGCTTAACGATGCGCTACAATTGCATCTTAATAATTATTTTTCGAAAGTCGCATTGACAAAACGTGGAGTTATTAACCAGTATCATCTCGATTATGGTGCTAGTTTGATTCCGCTCTGGGACTAGTCAAGCCTCTCATCCCTTCGGGGTCGGGAAATTGGTATCGGACTTCTCCGGGAAAAAAAATACTCCGTAATCTCATTGGGTACGCTCCAGCCCGGCTATCTCAGGACTCCAGAGAGGATTGCTGGACCGGCGTTCTACGACGTTTAAGATGAAATGGTAATCCTCAAGCAGCAACCGAGACCACACGCAAAAACATGGAAGACCTTCGCGGGCGACGAATGCGAGGTAACGAATTGGATGTGAGACTGGGATCCGCACAGAAGACGTGAAGACGTACCAAATAAAATAAAATATAAAAATAAAAAAGTGTTCCTCCGAGAAAGAATTGTGTGTCTTCCATGACTAACTTCTTAATAACCACAAATGAGTGCTTCTGGGTTGCGTAAATACCCATCAAGTTCACATTCGAGAGGTAGAGTTCTACATTTGCGGCGGAGGCCTATTTAAGAATGAGTCTGTATAGAGAAACATTGTAAGCTTAGAACACCGTAGCCGTAAGGCAGCACCACTGCCATACATGCGGTTCTCAATAAAGCGACAACGCCTTTGCCGTTGATTTGGGAGTGCATAAAATTTCACACAAATGGAAACCGTACCGTGTGCTGCGATAACACTGAATGCAGGAAATCTACGCATCGAGGTAGAGAGCATTACTGTTCACTGATGTTACCAAGTCAGCTAATTGTAATCAGAAAACATGCGTTCTCTTCGAAACACGTTCTAGCGCGTTATCAGCTAAACTGAAGACATTATCTAAGCATCGACGAAAGAAGCACTACTATTCGCTACTGTCATCAAATCCGTTATCTTCACTCAAAGATCACGCTCTCTCTTCCGGGTACATTCCAGAGCGCTATCTGCTCCTATATCGAACCGAAGAACCATCGCGTCTCATGTGAGAGCATTGGAAAGGCCATTCCTTAGCAAGCTCTGGAGATGACGAAGCTTCCGGACACACTATATAAAAAGCAACACAACGTCTCTCCTTACCTGCTGCTGTTTATCTCCGCTGTTTCTTGTAACGTATTCCAGTGCTTTCACTTTCATAAAATCACTGCACTGTTCTCAACGATTGCACGAGTAGACCGTGCTCAGCTGTGTCTAGCAGAAATCAATTTCATTGTTACACGAAACAGTGGCTCGTTCAAAGGCCTTCCTAGTTATCAAGAAATAGGTCTGACACTTTGGGCGCAACGAAAAGAAAGCAGTATTTCGGAGGAAAGTAATTCCACAAACTTTGGATGAAAATCTTGCCTTCTGTTTGAAGATAATCTGCGTTGCTAAAATGAAAGCCTGTAGTCCAAAATGATGGGTTCAGAGGAGTAGGACGCGAATATAAAAGTAAATAAGATGTGATGAAATAGAGAATAGTATTGTGTCCATAGCGATCATCGATAAGAATTGAGGAGAACTCTGTAGGTAGACTATGAAGCATAGAAATAAAAACCCATAGATAGCAAAAACTCTTAGCATCTCGCTGATATAACAACTTCAAAATATATTCACAACAACTGGTCTTGCTTTCAGCAATGAAGACCATTCTCGTTCTCGCTACGCTAGCAGCCATTGCTCATGGCAAAACGTACACGATGGAGACTCATTCGTCGGGATCACTCATTTCCCGTCTCATCAAGTAAGATCTAAAAGAAAATTCGACATCCACTTATCTAGGATTGGCTTATAACGCAAGGGTGGAGTTATGAACTACTTCCTGCGCAGACAAGAACCTGACAACATTAATTAAAACATTCTGTTAAAGAAAAAAAGAAACGATGAACGTTCCTGGCGCTCAAATTCCCCAACCAATCGCTTAGAAGAATCTTAAATTTGAGGGAAAAACAGGTCGAGCTGAGATGAAATCTGCTCAGAAAAAACTTTTATAATCACACTAAATGAAACTGAACATGTAAATTTTCATTCGAATAGTAAACAGCTTCCTTCAGACACTGACCTACAGCCTGAGTTTTGCAGACATCTCAATATCATTGCAGTTGCACTTTTTACAATATCCTACCATATAGCAACAGTGGGCACAATGGGCAACTAAGTCCAAGGATGCCGTCGGAGATACCTTCGGCATCGATGAACTCTTGTTGTTCGATTGTCAGACCTATAATTTCGTGATGTTCTATAGTGTGTGAATTTCCAAACGGTAAACGGATTTGAGGTGTTATGGGACAGCTTAGCGTCACGTCTCACTCCCTTTCATGTGCTTCCTAGGATTTTGGCCACAATTACCTGAAAAAGAGACGGTGTCCGTTGCGATGCGTCCATTGCACGATTCAAAATCGTATCCAATAAGGGGCTTCCGTTTTTCCGTAGAAAATGTGGACGACGTCGAGGAATTAAATCTGTGTCTTTCGGGACTAATTGAGTAACAGGCTTCTGTGTTGCAACTTATGTCGATCACCCAAAGGCTTGATGAACCGGTGTCCAACAACAGTGAGAAGTTCTGGCCTGAAAATATAGAGCACGTGGTATTGACGAAAATATTCTCGCCGATAATAGCCCGTGAGCAGTGCTATAACCTTTTGGGATACCAATGAGAAAAAATGAACTTCTTTTCATATCTCTGAGCATCGCTGAAGGCTGTTTCGCCTAAAATCAAGAGTAATGTGGTTGCGATGTAATTGTATTATAGGACACATAGAAAAATGTCGCGCTTCAGCATTCCCATGAATATTCAACCCGTTGCTGATCAGAAATCAGTACGAAAGAAAGTTGAATCTCATCAATAATCTATGTGATACTCGATAGGGTACTGGTTTTTGTTGGACCTCAGTGTATCTAAAGAGACAGGCATACAGGCATCTACCGTTCAGGTGCTAATACGTTTGCCAAATCTGATAGAAAACTTATCTAAGCTACTGGGTTCATTAATCGATTCACTGCCGTTCAAATTGTAGCCGAATTCATCTCGGTTGAAAAAGTCAGGTGAACTTGAAGAAAATTCCCATTGAAACAACCGTTTTTCTAACATTCTCGTTATTTCCACAAATAACACCAGCCATGTGGGGCGAACGATGAAGGCGTGAAACATTCTGAACTAGTGATAACTGCATGAAATAAAAAGTTTAAATCGTGAGTTTTCACCTGATTATGTGATCAGTCGAATGACATGGCTGGGCTTAAGAATTTAACCGATGTTTCAAGTAGAACCCGAAGATGAAACCACAATGCCACGAGCCTTTTCCACGCATTTTTCAGCTAGCATTCGGCTATATTGATCATTGAATTTGGTGGATAACCACCCACGTGATGTGCCAAAGAATTCACTGTGTGCGCGAACTATTTGCAATAGCTCACCATTTCAATTCATCATCGTCACGTGTAACACATTTGCTAACACATACGCTGCTGTGAGAAAAACAATAGTTTTAAGCGTAACGGTTTAGCATGGGGAAGCCGATATAACCATAATGCTGCTGGGATATTTTCAAAACTCCTGACCGCAGGTGACCGCGGTGGGGATTGGATTGACCGCGCTACTACCCTTTCCGAATGATAACGGGTTCACCACAACACCACGCGTGTTGCTCGTTTCGCCTTTCTCTCTGCTAGT